CATACTGATATACACCTGAACATCAGCAGGAGAGGACTCTTTAAACTAGAGACACTACATACTGATATACACCTGAACATCAGCAGGAGATAACTCTTTAAAGTAGAGACACTACATACTGATATACACCTGAACATCAGCAGGAGAGGACTCTTTAAAGTAGAGACACTACATACTGATATGAACCTGAACATCAGCAGGAGAGGACTCTTTAAAGTAGAGACACTACATACTGATATGAACTTGAACATCATTAGGAGAAGACTCTTTAACATAGAGACACTACATACTGATATGAACCTGAACATCAGCAGGAGAGGACTCTTTAAAGTAGAGACACTACATACTGATATGAACCTGAACATCAGCAGGAGAGGACTCTTTAAAGTAGAGACACTACATACTGATATGAACCTGAACATCAGCAGGAGAGGACTCTTTAAAGTAGAGACACTACATACTGATATGAACCTGAACATCAGCAGGAGAGGACTCTTTAACGTAGAGACACTACATACTGATATACACCTGAACATCAGCAGGAGAGGACTCTTTAAACTAGAGACACTACATACTGATATACACCTGAACATCAGCAGGAGATAACTCTTTAAAGTAGAGACACTACATACTGATATACACCTGAACATCAGCAGGAGAGGACTCTTTAAAGTAGAGACACTACATACTGATATTAACCTGAACATCAGCAGGAGAGGACTCTTTAAAGTAGAGACACTACATACTGATATACACCTGAACATCAGCAGGAGAGGACTCTTTAAAGTAGAGACACTACATACAGATATGAACCTGAACATCAGCAGGAGAGGACTCTTTAACGTAGATACACTACATACTGATATACACCTGAACATCAGCAGGAGAGGACTCTTTAAAGTAGAGACACTACATACTGATATACACCTGAACATCAGCAGGAGAGGACTCTTTAAAGTAGAGACACTACAAACTGATATACACCTGAACATCAGCAGGAGAGGACTCTTTAAAGTAGAGACACTACATACTGATATGAACCTGAACATCAGCAGGAGAGGACTCTTTAAAGTAGAGACACTACATACTGATATGAACCTGAACATCAGCAGGAGAGGACTCTTTAAAGTAGAGACACTACATACTGATATGAACCTGAACATCAGCAGGAGAGGACTCTTTAACGTAGAGACACTACATACTGATATACACCTGAACATCAGCAGGAGAGGACTCTTTAAACTAGAGACACTACATACTGATATACACCTGAACATCAGCAGGAGATAACTCTTTAAAGTAGAGACACTACATACTGATATACACCTGAACATCAGCAGGAGAGGACTCTTTAAACTAGAGACACTACATACTGATATACACCTGAACATCAGCAGGAGATAACTCTTTAAAGTAGAGACACTACATACTGATATACACCTGAACATCAGCAGGAGAGGACTCTTTAAAGTAGAGACACTACATACTGATATGAACCTGAACATCAGCAGGAGAGGACTCTTTAAAGTAGAGACACTACATACTGATATGAACTTGAACATCATTAGGAGAAGACTCTTTAACATAGAGACACTACATACTGATATGAACCTGAACATCAGCAGGAGAGGACTCTTTAAAGTAGAGACACTACATACTGATATGAACCTGAACATCAGCAGGAGAGGACTCTTTAAAGTAGAGACACTACATACTGATATGAACCTGAACATCAGCAGGAGAGGACTCTTTAAAGTAGAGACACTACATACTGATATGAACCTGAACATCAGCAGGAGAGGACTCTTTAACGTAGAGACACTACATACTGATATACACCTGAACATCAGCAGGAGAGGACTCTTTAAACTAGAGACACTACATACTGATATACACCTGAACATCAGCAGGAGATAACTCTTTAAAGTAGAGACACTACATACTGATATACACCTGAACATCAGCAGGAGAGGACTCTTTAAAGTAGAGACACTACATACTGATATTAACCTGAACATCAGCAGGAGAGGACTCTTTAAAGTAGAGACACTACATACTGATATGAACCTGAACATCAGCAGGAGAGGACTCTTTAAAGTAGAGACACTACATACTGATATGAACTTGAACATCATTAGGAGAAGACTCTTTAACATAGAGACACTACATACTGATATGAACCTGAACATCAGCAGGAGAGGACTCTTTAAAGTAGAGACACTACATACTGATATGAACCTGAACATCAGCAGGAGAGGACTCTTTAAAGTAGAGACACTACATACTGATATGAACCTGAACATCAGCAGGAGAGGACTCTTTAAAGTAGAGACACTACATACTGATATGAACCTGAACATCAGCAGGAGAGGACTCTTTAACGTAGAGACACTACATACTGATATACACCTGAACATCAGCAGGAGAGGACTCTTTAAACTAGAGACACTACATACTGATATACACCTGAACATCAGCAGGAGATAACTCTTTAAAGTAGAGACACTACATACTGATATACACCTGAACATCAGCAGGAGAGGACTCTTTAAAGTAGAGACACTACATACTGATATTAACCTGAACATCAGCAGGAGAGGACTCTTTAAAGTAGAGACACTACATACTGATATGAACCTGAACATCAGCAGGAGAGGACTCTTTAAAGTAGAGACACTACATACTGATATGAACTTGAACATCATTAGGAGAAGACTCTTTAACATAGAGACACTACATACTGATATGAACCTGAACATCAGCAGGAGAGGACTCTTTAAAGTAGAGACACTACATACTGATATGAACCTGAACATCAGCAGGAGAGGACTCTTTAAAGTAGAGACACTACATACTGATATGAACCTGAACATCAGCAGGAGAGGACTCTTTAAAGTAGAGACACTACATACTGATATGAACCTGAACATCAGCAGGAGAGGACTCTTTAACGTAGAGACACTACATATCAACCTGGTCTCACCATAATACGTGACTCCACCACGACTCCTTAACACCGCAGTGCGTGGTGGAGTCACGAACTCTGCTACATTTACGTGTCTGCACCACGGAATCAACCCCAATGTAAAGTGAATGAGGCTCCTTTGTCGTGGTGCACACACGCATTTTTACAACGTCCCGCAGTGAGCTTTTATTCTATGAAACGTTTTTAAAATGTAATTTATAGCTTAACTCACGGGAGGCTTCTTTTATTTTATTTGTATTCATAATAATTTGTATTTTTCGTCAGAATGTATTATGGTGCATTAGTTACGAATTTTTGTTCTCAAAAAACCAACCCGGTATCACAGCAAGACGTGAACATGTGACGATTTACCATGCTAGGAGACGTGAAGATGTCACGATTTCGTCCCCTTAAACGTGACAGTTACACGGTATTGTTAACCCATGTTAACCAGTGGAGAAATACCCGGAAATGCCAAGCAAATGCTCCCCGACGGTCGGTTATTATTGTCAATATTAATATAATAATGATTTATTTTTTAATAATCACACTCGATTTCGCCGATTTTCTTGTTGCCCCAGCTGTTCGACACCTCTTTGAGCATAAACAAAGGCTACATTAAAGTATTAAATCGATGTTAATCCGTGCGTGTGGATGTGGAATTAACGGACGTGACGTTGTGCAATTGCGTTGCCAGGCAACAGCTTCGGTTCATGTTAATTTACAAACTCTTCAACTAGAACCGTAGTTATATTTAAAAACATTTTAGAAGGCCTTACGAAATACTTTATTGTACATTTTAATTTAAATGTGAAGGAATGTGTGTATAACAAAATACATCCGTCATAAACAATACCGGAAACAGACGTAGGCAAGATCCTCAGCTCGCTGATTGGATGGTTTAGCCGCAATGCACGTTGGGACATGGTGTTTATGCGATGTGAAATCCGAAAACATTTTTTTAAAATAAAATAATACATAGAAATGTCTCTACTTTAAACATATGTTTAAGCACTTATTTTAACTGATATTATACATATGTATTATACAGTATACTCTTATAAGATGTATGTAGATAGTATAAGAAATGTGCAGAATATGACAGTTTAATGGTGGAGGTATACACTGGTTTGGTCTGCCTACAAAAAAAGGCAGACCATAAAAACAACAACAACAGCCTCTGATTCCTCTGAGTTCATGCAATGCTTCATGGGATGCATAATCCATCCATCCATCTATCCATCTTCTCCCGCTTATGCGTGGTCGGGTTGCGGAAGTAGCAGTTCCAGGCCACATCAACCAGCTCTGACTGGGGGATCCCAGGGCGCTCCCAGGCCAGCGAAGAGATATAATCCCTCCACCTGGTCCTAGGTCTACCCCTCGGTCTCTTCCCAGCTGGACGTGCCTGGAACACCTCCCTAGGGAGGCGCCCACCTCAACTGGCTCCTTTCGACGAGAAGGAGGAGCGGTTCAACTCTGAGTCCCTCCCGGATGACTGAACTTCTCACCTTATCCCTAAGGGATGCATAATTAGATCTATAATCTCCATCTAACTCCTTGAACATCTAAAACTACTTCCAAGATGGATAAATGTTCAAAAAATATATCCATTGTTTGTTTATACGCTTCTTGAAATCTAAAAAAACAAACATTGTTTTTCTATAATAGATTACAAATTGCCTGAAAAAGTTACAAACAAGCGGCAACATATGTGATGAACTTAAGCTCGCACCGTTGCGGAGATATTTCCACGAGAGTGACATGACTCTTGAAGAGAATGAGGAAGCTGGTCTGTGACATTTGAACAACAATGCTCCACCCACTGCATGACTCACCTGAGACAAACAAGGATTGTCAGTGTGTTGTTCTGAGACAAAGACAGAAGAGATTTACCTTCGTAGCAAACTTCAGTTCACGAGGGGAAAACTGGACTACTGCGACACTGAATGTAAGTGTATTACTACTAAAGAGAAAACAACACTTGATAGAAAACTGCCATACTTACAGTGCTTGAACTCTTGCTGTGTGCCTGCATCATTTTCAGCATTTTGCAACACACAATGGCGTCCATATCAGAGGAGGATCTCTCCTGTCCGGTCTGCAATGACGTCTTTAAAGATCCAGTTGTCCTGACATGTAGCCACAGCTTCTGTAAAGCCTGTTTGAAGAACTGGTGGAAAGGAAAACAAACACACGAGTGTCCAGTTTGTAAGAGAAGATCCTCAAGGAGTGATCCTCCTCATAACCTGGTGTTGAAGAACCTGTGTGAGAGTTTCTTAGTGAAGAGAGATCAGAACGTTTCAGCCGGGTCTGAGACTTTCTGCCGTCTGCACTTTGAGAAACTCAGACTCTTCTGTCTGGACCATCAGCAGCCAGTGTGTGTCGTCTGCAGAGATTCAAAAGCACACACCAACCACAGATTCAGACCCATGGATGAAGCTGCTCAGGATCTCAGAGAGGAGCTCCAGAAAGCTCTGCAGCCCTTTCAGGAGAAGTTAAAGACTTTTGAAGAAGTTAAAGTGGAGTTTGATCAAACAGCAGGACACATGAAGGTCCAGGCTCAACGAACAGAGATGCAGATTAAGGAGCAGTTCAAGAAGCTTCACCAGTTTCTAGAAGAGGAAGAGGAGGCCAGGATGGCTGCACTGAGGGAGGAAGAGGAGCAGAAGAGGAGGATGATGGAGGAGAAGATGGAGGCTGTGAGCAGAGAGATAGCAGCTCTTTCACACACATTCAGAGCCACAGAGGAGGAGCTGAGAGCTGAAGACGTCTCCTTCCTGCACAGCTACAAGGCTGCAGTGGAGAGGCTGCAGCGCCCCCTGCTGGAGGATCCACAGCTGCCCTCAGGAGCTCTGATAGACCAGGCCAAACACCTGGGCAACCTCAGCTTTATTATCTGGGACAAGCTAATGGATTTGGTCACCTACACTCCTGTGATTTTGGACCCAAACACTGCTGTTCCATTACTCATCCTGTCTGAAGATCTGACCAGTGTGAGACGAGGAGAGAGACAGAAACTTCCTGATAATCCAGAGAGGTTTCATAAATACTACTACTCAGTCCTGGGCTCTGAGGGCTTTAACTCAGGGACTCACAGCTGGGATGTTGAAGTTGGAGGCAGTGCAGGCTGGTTTCTTGGTGTAGCCTCAGAGTCCATCAAAAGGAAAGGGAAAGCAGAGTCTGGATTATGGAGAATAGGATTCTCTAATGGAAAATACAAAATATTCTCCCCATCAACAGCACCAAGTAATCTCTCAGTGCCAACGAAGCTCCAGAGGGTCAGAGTGCATCTAGACTGGAACAGAGGAGAGTTGTCATTCTCTGATATTAATAACAACGCACACATACTCACCTTCACACAAACTTTCACTGAGAAGCTGTTTCCATACTTTAGCAATAAGGATAAAATCCCTATACAGATTCGACCAGAAGTGGATTAGGACAAGGCTGATGGTTGTTATCACAAATATGAGAGACTAAAGATAGATAGATGGATACTTTATTCAGCCCAAATTGGGATATTATATATAATTTCCCATATTGTATATGACTCCAAATGTCCATCTACATACACATCTAATACTTTATGCAGATGGTAGAACTGACACAGATCTTTTTTAAGTCATTGTCTCGTACTTCTTTGTGACGCATGTCACAAAGAACATCAGGACGGCAGATAGCTTGCACATCTTCCGGCGCAAACTGAAAACTCATCTCTTTCGACTCCACTTCGAGCGTTAGAACTATTAACGAAGCACTTTTATACTAATAAAGGACTGGCTTACCTAAAGCCAGTTGAGTAGCACTTGAAATGTTTGGCTCTATGAAACCTGATGTACTTATATGATTCTGTTTTCTTCAAGGTTGTGTCTTCCTGGTCGAATGTACTTATTGTAAGTCGCTTTGGATAAAAGCGTCAGCTAAATGCAATGTAATGTAATGTACTTGTCCCTTGTACTTGTTCCCCCCGAACTCTTTAGTCCCTGGAACTGTACTAGTCTATCACGTCCACACCGGAATAAATCCCTGAGGGAGGATTACGCAAATGAAGCCGCTGACGCCACTTCTTCTTCTTCTGCTTTGGGTTTACTGGTAGGCCGCAAAGAACTTCACAGCGTATACTGCCACCCGAAGTCCCAGAGTTTCCCGGAAGCTGCTGGGTAGCGTCTTCCGAGTAAATCGCCAGAAGCGCCAACACCTCCTCATCACTCCACCGCTCCCATATTTTATTTTGTGTTGCCATAAGTTTGTCTCTCTCCGTTGGTGCGCTGGGCTAATGCAAATGCTAATCATGCTAATGCGAGCAAATAAAATGGCAGCTTCACAAAACTTTTCGGAGTTTTACGGGGCGTTGTTTGCAATTCTCCCAGCCAATCAGAAATTGTTAGTGTGGCCGACACACCCACGAACCATTTCCTCTCCAGGAAAGTGCCACCTTTCTAGCAGGGACTATCTGGGGGTGAAAATGTCCGTGCGAACTAGGGACTAGTTCCAGATCTTTTTAGTGTGAAACCAAATCTCCCCCCTATCGGCCTAGTTCGGGGCGAAAAGTACACCGGTGTGAAAGCGCCTGTATATAGGCAGTGAAAACACACACACACATTGAAAAATACTTAAAGTTTTAAGACGATAATGTACTTAATTAACGTCATGTTAGTTTGAGGAAGCCTTGACGGTAGAGATTGAGACTGAGCTCATCTGGAAAATGTTTCCTGAGGTAATGAATCAATTGAGAGATAGTTACTTTCTGTTAGGAATCTTGACTCAATAGTATGAGTACTCAAATGCACAACCCAGAGACAAAAGAGGTTTGAAGAAAATAATCTTTACTTTGCAAAAACAAATCACTCTTCCAGAGGATATAACAAACTGTCAAAAGTAAAGCGCTCACAATGGAGGATAAAAGGAAAAACACTGAGTCCTTTAAATGATGGCTTGGATCTGGCTTAATGGAACGAACGAACAATACGAACCGACTACTAACAAGGGGAGACAGCACAATATATACATGAGGTAAGTGGGCACAGGTGGAAACAATCAGGGGCGGAGCAGACCCTGACAATGGCGGGAAAAAGAACCAAGGCAGGAAGTAAAGGGACCTGGAAGAGACATGGTGAGTACAAAATAAAACAGGAAGTGGAACATAAACTAAACTAGCATGAACATGACAATCACAAACATGACAAAACTTAACATATTTGATGAGACACTACACTTTCTCATAGACTTCTATACCTCTTGTGTTTTTGAGTGGTGTCACCGGCTGCTGGCCACTTGAACAGAATAATGACTTTCCAGGCAACCGAAAGGTTATTTCTGTGTTTTGCATTGTTTCATAATTCATGCATACTGTCAGGCCCGCCCCTCCCTACAGGCAGATCACGCATAGTGCGTGGTGCCATCTTGCGGAGGGGGCCTCATCTTGCTGAGGGGTCCTCATCTTGTTTGCAAATGCGGCGCAATTTTGTGCTCCACAGTTTCCCCGCTGCGAGGCTCTGGTGCTAACAGCTCCGCCGCTAACAGCTCACGAGCGTGCTCCGCCCCTCATGACGGAACTTTGTGTAGGGCCCCAAGTTGGCCAGGAGCAGCCCTGCATGCCGTCATAAAGTAATTGTGGCAGCTGGGTGTGGTTAGAGCGTCGGCTGCTGGGGTGAGTGGCTCAGCCAGAGGCCAGATTGTTGTTTATTTTTGTGAACTCCCCCTCAGTTTCAATAAACTTTGTTTTATTTTTCACAAACCACCTTTTACTTCCATCATTTTTTACTCTAGCGTGAGCCAGAATGCTCACAGTGGCACCTGAACTGGGACCTACATGTCGGAAGGACAAAACCCTCAAAGCGCGCTGGGGCAGGCACTCGAGCATCTCCCTACTCTCCAGGAGAACACCACCACGCTACAATGACAGCAGAGCTAGACTCTGCTGGAAATTGATGCTTCCCAGCGCGAGGAGCTGCTGCAGCGTCCGGCCACCCGGAGGCCTCCAGAAAATGACGTCGGACGACGACCCGGAGGCTTACCTCAATATCTTTGAGGGCACCGCGGCGGCGTGTGGGTGGACGGAGGAGGAGTGGGCTGTGCGGCTGTTGCCCCTGCTCTCCGGGGGGCACAGTTGGTTGCGCACAGCCTGCCGACGTCCTCTCGATACGACTATGACCAACTGAGGACGGCCATCCTGGACCGGCTGGGCAGCATGCCGGAGGGTCATCACGAGTTGGCTTTATTTTGTGTTCATGCACAGTAGAAAGACTTTCAAACCCTTGAACTTATAAAAGAAGAGATTTCTCATTGCCAGGAAAAAAGGGTAATTTTATTCAGATAGTACAACAGAAACAGAGAAAGGACTTGGTCAGCATGCAAAAACAAGGTCTTAATTATCCTCAGGATAGAAAATCTGCTCTGCCGGAGATTGGAAAACCTTCTCAAATAAGATGGAAACAACCAACACCAGTGTGATTTTGGTAACAGTACGACTATCTAGGACAAAGTTATAGTGTGGGTGCCAAATCCGGCAGCACCAATAACTGGTTCTGCCACATGTCATCTTTTCGGATCTTTTAGATGTTGGTGATCTTTTTGGATGTTGGTGAACTTTTTGGATCATAGTGATGTTTTTGGATGTTGGTGAACTTTTTGGACGTTAGTGATCTTTTCGGATGTGAGTGATGTTTTTGGATGTTTCACATGAGTGTAAAAATAGTTATGAGACCACAAGTACAAAAGAAAAAACAACATGAAAGTGTTATCACTCAGAGATGTATTCAAATCCCACAGTGAAAAGTATTCTATAAGTCTCTTGATCAGAAAATAGTTATTTCAACTCTTGGTGACCATGGGGGAAAAAGAAAGTATTTTAAAGAAGATGAACTCAGTGTGCATCTGGACCCGGTGACAACATTACCTATTGACGCAGCAACCACTGTAAGTTATATTCTTGTTTAATTAGACTTCTCGGTTTCATTTATTCGACTCTGTATAATTGTTACTGTAGCTTAAACGGCTAAATCGCTTTTGAGAGATTTTAAATCTCAGATCTGCTCAGGCGAAACCTGCTTTACAGGTCTCAGCACTCAAGCCTGCATTATTAACATAGGCAGGGCCAGTCTATTGTCGCCCATCAGCTGTAGATAGTTAACTAATTAACTTCAGCTGTGAGAACTGAGCAATCAGGCGTCCATTTCGGGTAGCTCTTTCCTGGAGCGTCAGCTTCAGCGGCAGACAGGCTAAGACTGACAAAGACATTAGAGTCCTACAGGAGTAAGACTGACAAAGACATTAGAGTCCTACAGGAGTCACGAGGGAGGCAAAGAGGAGGCAAATCCTACTTTGATTGAGCTAAGTATCGTTCACGTTTTTAATTTTTAATTTTGTTGTTTAGCCCCTCATGCTATAATCATGTGTATTTTCTCCATTCCTGTTCATGTGTCTTCTCGCAATTATCACTGGCCCCGTGTATCTCGTAATCGATATAACCGGCCTGCTCTCGTCTATCCCACGTGCTCCACTGAGATCCAACATCTAGTTTCAGGTGGCCTGTGGAACTGCCAGTCAGCTGTTCCTAAGGCTGACTTCATCTCTGGCTACGCCTCCCTGCAGTCTCTGGATTTCCTTGCTCTCACTGAGACCTGGATTACTCCATCCAACACATCCACCCCAGCAGCTCTCTCCACTGCATATTCCTTCTCCCATACACCCAGACCCACTGGCAGAGGAGGTGGCACTGGTCTCCTGCTCTCTCCCAAATGGAGCTTTTCCCTCTTCAAGCTACCTAACTTCACTCCTTCCACCTTTGAATTCCATGCCGTCACAGTAACCCATCCTATACAGTTAACCATTGTTGTTCTCTACCGTCCACCAGGCGCCTTGGGGGACTTCTTGGAGGAATTAGATCATCTCCTCTCACACATCCCTGAAACTGGCCCTCCCGCTGTACTTCTCGGAGACTTCAACCTCCAGATGGGGAAGATAGACGAACTAACATCTCTGTTAACCGCCTTTGCTTTCTCACTGTCTCCGTCCCCACCGACTCATAAAGCTGGCAATGTCCTTGATCTCATATTCTCAAGGAACTGCGCTACTTCTAACCTCTCTGTAAACCCGCTCCACACATCCGATCACTTCTTCATTTCATTCTCTCTATCCCTTTCCAAACATAACAAACTAATCTCTTCTCATCCTGCACTTGTCCGCCGTAACCTTCGCTCCCTCTCCCCCTCTAGCTTTGCCTCGTCGGTGCTCTCAGCCCTCCCTTCCTCTGATTCGTTCCAACTACTGCCTCCAAACTCTGCTGCAGAAACTCTCCTCTCTACTCTCTCATCCACTCTGGACTCGCTCTGTCCTCTGACATCTCGGCAGGCTCGTCAGTCCCCTCCTGCTCCCTGGCTAAATGATGCACTGCGTGCTAATAGAACCGTCCTTAGGGCAGCAGAGCGGAAATGGTGGAAATCCAAACACCGTGACGACCTCCTAACCTATCAAGCTCTCCTCTCCTCTTTCTCTGCTTCGATCTCTCAGGCAAAAAGCACTTTCTTTCAAGATAAGATCCAATCTTCCTATTCCAATCCTAAAAAACTATTTTCCATCTTCTCCACCCTCTTGGACCCTCCAAAAGCTCCTCCCCCCTCCTCACTTCTGTCAAGCGACTTTGTTACCCACTTTGAAAAAAAGGTTAATGATATTCGCTCTTCTTTTTCTGACTCACCTTTACTCACCGCTGGGTCACCAGACCTTCCTTCCACCAACACACTAACCTCCTTTTCCCCTCTCTCTCCAAGTGAGGTTCTTACCCTCATTACCTCTGCCCGCCCTACCACCTGTCCTCTGGACCCTATCCCTTCAAACTTCCTTCAGACTATCGCTCCTGATATTCTACCGTTTCTCACCCATTTCATCAACACTTCTCTAACTTCTGGTCACTTTCCAAACAGTCTCAAGGAGGCAAGAGTAAACCCTCTCCTAAAGAAACCCACTCTCAACCCGTCTGATGTTATAAACTACAGGCCTGTCTCTCTCCTCCCGTTCCTGTCTAAATCACTTGAACGCGCTGTCTTTAAACAACTCTCCTGTTATCTCAATCAGAACAACCTTCTGGATCCGCACCAGTCTGGTTTCAAGGAAGGTCACTCCACAGAAACTGCTCTCATTGCTGTCACGGAGGAACTGCACACTGCCAAAACTGCATCCCTCTCCTCTGTCATCATCCTGTTGGACCTGTCTGCTGCATTCGACACGGTGAATCATCGGATCCTCCTTCGCACTCTCCAAAAACTTGGAGTTTCAGGCTCTGCACTTTCCCTCCTCACCTCATACCTGAAAGACCGTACCTACAGGGTGACTTGGAGAGGGTCTGAGTCCGACCCTTGTCAATTAACTACGGGGGTCCCTCAGGGCTCTGTTCTTGGTCCCCTCCTCTTCTCCTTGTACACAAACTCGCTCGGATCAGTCATTAGCCCGCATGGTTTTTCTTACCACTGCTACGCTGACGACACCCAATTAATTCTGTCCTTTCCCCGCTCAGAGACCCAGGTCGTCGCACGCATCTCTGCTTGTCTAGCTGACATCTCTCAGTGGATGTCTGCTCACCACCTCAAGCTCAACCTTGACAAGACTGAGCTGCTCTTCCTCCCGGGAAAAGATTGTCCAACTCTTGACCTGACAATCAACATCGGCACCTCAGTTGTTTCCCCGACTCAGACTGCAAGGAATCTGGGTGTGACCCTAGATAACAACCTGTCCTTCACTGCAAACATCGCTGCTACAACCCGCTGCTGCAGATACACGCTTTACAACATCAGGAAGATACGTCCCCAGCTGACTCAGAAAGCGACTCAGGTTCTGGTCCAGGCTCTCGTCATCTCACGCCTAGACTACTGCAACTCCCTCCTGGCTGGTCTACCTGCATGTGCCATCCGACCTCTGCAGCTCATCCAGAATGCAGCGGCTCGTCTGGTTTTCAACCTTCCTAAATTCTCCCACACCACTCCGCTCCTCCGCTCCCTTCACTGGCTTCCGGTAACTGCTAGAATCCACTTCAAGACACTGGTACTTGCTTACCGTGCTGCGAATGGATCTGGCCCTTCCTACATCCAGGACATGGTTAAACCGTACACCCCAGCGCGTGCACTACGCTCTGCATCAGCCAAACGACTCGCTGCACCCTCGCTGCGAGGGGGACCCAAGTTCCCATCGGCGAAAACACGTGGGTTTGCTATCCTGGCTCCAAGATGATGGAATGAGCTCCCCATTGACATCAGGACGGCAGATAGCTTGCACATCTTCCGGCGCAAACTGAAAACTCATCTCTTTCGACTCCACTTCGAGCGTTAGAACTATTAACGAAGCACTTTTATACTAATAAAGGACTGGCTTACCTAAAGCCAGTTGAGTAGCACTTGAAATGTTTGGCTCTATGAAACCTGATATACTTATATGATTCTGTTTTCTTCAAGGTTGTGTCTTCCTGGTCGAATGTACTTATTGTAAGTCGCTTTGGACAAAAGCGTCAGCTAAATACAATGTAATGTAATGTAATAAAGCAGCAAAATCAATATATATATATATATATAATATTTACAAAAAAAGTAATGGCGCTTTATGTCAAGAATGTTAGTTGTGCCATTCCTCAAAGCAGATTATGTCAGATACAAGCCAGAGGGCCACAGTACACTGCCTACATCTTGAGGAGGTGCATTGGCCTGCATGGTCTGCCTACAAAACAAGGCAGACCAAAACAAAATGGTATGCAGCCCCAACAACAGCCTCTGATTCCTCTGAGTTCGTGCAATGCTTCATGGGATGCATAATTAGATCTATAATCTCCATCTAACTCCTAGAACATCTAAAATTACTTCCAAGATGGATAAATGTTCAAAAAAGATATCCATTGTTTGTTTATACGCTTCTTGAAATCTAAGAAAATAACAATTGTTTTTCTATAATAGATTACAAATTGCCTGAAAAGTTACAAACAAGCGGCAACATATGTGATGAACTTAAGCTCGCTCTGTTGCGGAGATATTTCAACGAGAGTGACATGACTGCACTTCAACCAGAGGACATGCAACAAATACCTGGCTGGATTCCAACAAGGTAGGTTGTGATTACATTTCAAAGTACAAGTTGTAGGGCCTTTTATGAGAGAATGAGTAAGCTGGTCTGTGACATTTGAACAAAAATGCTCCACCCATTGCATGACTCACCTGAGACAAACAAGGATTAACAGCAGTGTCGTTCTGAGACAAAGACAGAGAGATTTCCCTTTGTAGCAAACTTCAGTTCACGAGGGGAAAACTGGACTACTGCGACTCTGAATGTAAGTGTATTACTACTGAAGAGAAAAAAACACGTGATAGAAAACTGCCATACTTACAGTGCTTGAACTCTTGCTGTCTACCTGCTTCATTTTCAGCTTTTTGCAACACACAATGGCGTCCATATCAGAGGAGGATCTCTCCTGTCCGGTCTGCCATGACGTCTTTAATGATCCAGTTGTCCTGACATGTAGCCACAGCTTCTGTAAAGTCTGTTTGAAGAACTGGTGGAAAGGAAAACAAACACACGAGTGTCCAGTTTGTAAGAGAAGATCCTCAAGGAGTGATCCTCCTCATAACCTGGTGTTGAAGAACCTGTGTGAGAGTTTCTTAGTGAAGAGAGATCAGAAAGTTTCAGCCGGGTCTGAGACTTTCTGCCGTCTACACCTTGAGAAACTTAAACTCTTCTGTCTGGACCACCAGCAGCCAGTGTGTGTCGTCTGCAGAGATTCAAAAGCACACACCAACCACAGATTCAGACCCATGAATGAAGCTGCTCAGGATCTCAAAGAGGAGCTCCAGAAAGCTCTGCAGCCCTTTCAGGAGAAGTTAAAGACTTTTGAAGAAGTTAAAGTGGAGTTTGATCAAACAGCAGGACACATGAAGGTCCAGGCTCAACACACAGAGACGCAGATTAAGGAGCAGTTTAAGAAGCTTCACCAGTTTCTAGAAGAGGAAGAGGAGGCCAGGATGGCTGCACTGAGGGAGGAAGAGGAGCAGAAGAGGAGGAAGATGGAGGAGAAGATGGAGGCTGTGAGCAGAGAGATAGCAGCTCTTTCACACACAGTCAGAGCCACAGAGGAGGAGCTGAGAGCTGAAGACGTCTCCTTCCTGCACAACTACAAGACTGCAGCGGAGAGACTGCAGCGCCCCCTGCTGGAGGATCCACAGCTGCCCTCAGGAGCTCTGATAGACCAGGCCAAACACCTGGGCAACCTCAGCTTTATTATCTGCGACAAGCTAATGGATTTGGTCACCTACACTCCTGTGATTTTGGACCCAAATACTGCTCATCCATTACTCATCCTGTCTGAAGATCTGACCAGTGTGAGACGAGGAGAGAGACAGAAACTTCCTGATAATCCAGAGAGGTTTCATAAATACTACTACTCAGTCCTGTGCTCTGAGGGCTTTAACTCAGGGACTCACAGCTGGGATGTTGAAGTTGGAGGCAGTGCAGGCTGGTTTCTTGGTGTAGCCTCAGAGTCCATCAAAAGGAAAGGGAAAGCAGAGTCTGGATTATGGAGAATAGGATTCTCTTATGGAAAATACAAAATACTCTCCCCATCAACACAACCAAGTGATCTCTCAGTGCCCATGAAGCTCCAGAGGGTCAGAGTGCATCTGGACTGGAACAGAGGAAAGTTGTCGTTCTCTGATCCTGACACTAACACACACATACACACCTTCACACACACTTTCACTGAGATGATGTTTCCATACATTAGCAATACAGATCAAATCCCTATAAAGATTTTACCAGAAGTGGATCAGGACAGGTAGGTAGGTAGGTAGGTAGGTAGGTAGGTAGGTAGGTAGGTAGGTAGGTAGGTAGGTAGGTAGGTAGGTAGGTAGGTAGGTAGGTAGGTAGGTAGGTAAATTAATTAACTGTAAGTACTGTACTCAATCACAATTTTGAGGTACTTGTACTTTACTTGAATATTTCAATGTTATGTTATTTTGTACTTCTACCTTTAGTTACTTTACAGATGTGGATGAATGATGTGAAATATAATCAAGTGTTGAATCAGACTTTAGTTCCACCTGGAGTAAATCCACCAGCTACCCTGCAGTATACAAAGTCATTCAAACTAGCTGCACCTTTACCAGCTTTGAGAACACTTTAATGATCAATCATTATAAAACATATCATATATATTATTCTGAAATGGACCAATCTGCACAATCACTACTTTTACTGTCGCTACTTTCACTATATTTTGATGAGAATACTTTTCTAATTTTACTTGAGGAACATTTTGAATGCAGGACTTTTACTGTAACAGAGTATTCCTACACTCTGGTACTTCTACTTTTACTCAAGTACAAGATCTGAGTACTTCTACTTTTACTCAAGAACAATGATCTGACTACTTCTACTTTCACTCAAGCACAAGACCTGAGTACTTTTTCCACCTCTGCTAAAAGTGGTTGTTCTCTGCTTCCTCTCCCTCCGTTAAAATCATGCTCATTGGGAGTTCCACAGGGCTCTAATCTGGGGCCTCTGCTGTTCAGTTATATATCAATTATCTCCCATTAGTTTGTGAAGATGTAAAAAAAAATGCACATCTATGCTGACAACACGATCATGTACACTGATGGAGGATGTTGAACAAGTTGCCAACAAACAATGTATCCACAGTTTAGAGCTAATGGATAAATCTGTACCCCTCTAAAGTGCAATCTGCTATTTAAATTACAGCCATAAATCATTGGCTTATATTTGCAGCTGATCTTAAATATGCACAGACTTTCACTCCTTTTTTATTGAGCACCAACGGTTCACTGATCAATGATTTAAGTGTTTTAATTGAAATATATTGGGATGTTGTACAGTAGTTGTACTTATATATGTATGTACAGGTCTTTGTACAGTATGTTGACTATTTACTGATTTTGGCGTGTCTTGATTAGTATGTGTGTACCTGCAGCTCTTTTAAAAAACTATTATTTGATTTGAATAATGCTCCTTGTTTAATTAAAACCAACAATCCTAATAACAGAAGGAGCAGGGATACTCTGATGTTTAAGATTGTAGGCCTATGTTGTAGATTGTATTATCGGATCATGTAATATTTATATTTCTGATGTAATTTCTGGAGTGTCAACCTTGGTTTGTTGTTCAATAAATATTTGTTAAGTTGTACTAAACCTTTGTTTATGCTTATTGTAAATATGGGTTGGTGGCCTGACCTCAGATCTTGGAAAACTTGTTTTGACGGCAGAAGTTGTTTTGTTTGAATATATACAAGCACCTTTTTAAATTGTGGATATATGTGGTGTGCGTGTCTGTGTGGCATGTTGTACCCTCGTCCTGCATCACTGTGATGTCAGCAGGAGGTTTGTTAGATATGATTGCTCGCCACACAGCTGAGCGGTTTTATTGGAACATGCACACACACACACACACACACACACACACACACACACACACACACACACACACACACACACACACACACACACACACACACACACACACACACACACCATGCTGACTGCAGTGGGGTTTGAACCTGTGCTCCCCCTACCCCAACACCAAGGCTCTACCCACTGTGCCACACGCCTCCCTACACACACACACACACACACACACACACACACACACACACACACACACACACACACACACACACACACACCACACACACACACACACACACACACACACACACACACACACACTTAATTAACTAATTATTTTATAATTTAAAGTATTTGTTTTATTTATTATATATAATTTATATATTTAAATATTATTTTACATTTAATTCGCAATGTTGAATGTTCAATGAGAAGTTCTGTTTTAAAGGATGTACTTGAATTATTATTATATATTATCATTATGTCAGTGGTCTAAAGTGGTCATACAACGGTGCCGACAATATTATCGTTTATCACAATAATTTCCGGGATAATGTATCCAACAAAATTAATTATCGTGACAGGCCTATATGCAACAAAGTTCAAGGTTATTTATTGTCAAACTAACATAGCTACAGAGTAATTATGTCGTAATTATGTCGTTGAAAATTCTTCTTCTTGGTGTTTTGTACCTATTTAAAGAAAACTGGGAGGAGGGTCCGAGATCAAGTAAAAATGAAATCCAGTACGTTATGGACCTGCGAGAACTCCACTCACTGGGGCAGATATCACGTGAAAATGTGCTCCAGGCTCAGAAACGTCAGCAGCGCCTGTACAACAGAGGGTCAAAACTGAGACAATTTTCATCGGGAGATAAAGTGCTTGTGTCCTCTAGCTCTAAATTACTCCCAAAGTTTCAAGGGCCCATTGTGGTCACACGGCGAGTGGGGGACGTAGATTATGAGGTGGTTTGTTCTGACAGTGGGGGAGCAACACAGATATACCACCTTAACCTCCTTAAAGCATGGAGGGAGGTGGCGTCTGCTTCTCTGGCCACCACGTTGATTGAGAGGGATTTGGGGTTGGGGCCGGAGGTAATAAAAAACAGCAAATTAGCCCCGGTCTGTTGTGACGACCATCTCTCACCAGGTCAGAGAGCAGACGTTGCCTCCAGTTGTCCTGACATGTAGCCACAGCTTCTGTAGAGCCTGTTTGAAGAACTGGTGGAAAGGAAAACAAACACACGAGTGTCCAGTTTGTAAGAGAAGATCCTCAAGGAGTGATCCTCCTCATAACCTGGTGTTAAATAACCTGTGTGAGACGTTCTTAGTGAAGAGAGATCAGAACGTTTCAGCCGGGTCTCTCTGCAGTCTGCACTTTGAGAAACTCAGACTCTTCTGTCTGGACCATCAGCAGCCAGTGTGTGTCATCTGCAGAGATTCAAGAACACACACCAACCACAGATTCAGACCCATGGATGAAGCTGCTCAGGATCTCAGAGAGGAGCTCCGGAGATCTCTGCAGCCCTTTAATGAACAGATGGTTTCAGTAGCTGAAAATAAGCCTTATGCAGTCTTATTAAAACATCTTAAAACCTCATCTTGTAACTTGCATAAAGGACGGTGAATTGTTCTTTTGTGTTTTTTGTTGAAGAATAAGGTGATCACTTAGTGTGAGTGGTGTCTTTTTAATCTGGCATGTTAAAGGGTTTGGTTCTTTCAGTGGAAGAGGGAAAAGAGCAATGTGGCCTTTTAACAGAATATGTACGAACATGACTGCACTTCAACCTGAGGGCATGCAAGAAATACCTGGCTGGATTCAAAGAAGGTAGGCTGTGATTACATTTCAAAGTACAAGTCGTAAGGCGTTAGCTTTTATGAGAGAATGAGGAAGCTGGTCTGTGACAGTTGAACAAAAATGCTCCGCCCACTGCACACTCTAAAAACAAATGCTTTGGCTCAACAAAGAAAATCAACGCAACAGTTTGCATCAATGTTTATTGAGTTAAGACAACTTCTAATGGAATTGTGTTAAACCATTAAACGTATTTGAGTTAGGGGAGAAGGCTTTACTTCTAATTGGTAGCATAAACACAAGTTTTTACAGTAAGTTGATTACTCAAAAAATTAAGTTGTTCCGACTAGTTTTACCAAATGTTTTAAAAGGAATTTTAAGTTGTATGTACTTAATTACCATCATTGTGAACAACCATTTATAAATTAAGTTCCTTCAAATATATTGTATTCAATTGTTGGTTTTTCTTAGCTTTTTCATGTTTTTGCCTTTAAAGAAAGAAATTAATTAATTCCACAACAAAAATATTAGGCAATTCACTTTTTATTTTGAACTGCAGTTGTTTATTTCAACACATGATGTTTCAATCAGGAGAGACTTCATTTGGTTTGAACATTTATTGACACATGCCATATGATAAGGTGCATGAACACCTGAAATCACAGCTGACTGCAGGAGAGAGGAGAACCATTATAGTTTGGCTGCAGCTCGCTGATTGGCTGCTGGAGAATGAGGTGAAATGTAATAGGTTAAAGAGAACGCCTGTGATGAGCTGATTATATGCAGCTGCGGAGTGAATGTATATACACCCAGTCTTCCTGAAAGAACTTGCGCTGAGCTTCATTTCAATCATGAAAAAAAAGATAAATAACACAAATTTAAATGTCCCCACAAATAATAAATACACACATTAGCCATATTACCATGGGACATGGGGACACAGCAAATACACACTGCCATCACAACGAAGTTAGAGGCCCAGTGCCAAATATGTAAAATCTGTAAAGTCTTTGTAAAAGCTACAGTAACAAACTCTCAATGGCCACCAATCAGATCACACACATCCATTTTACAAAAGATGTAACAAAGATGTTTGCACTGCCGACAGTCATTATCTCAAACAGTATGAACACATTTAACGCAGAATGCTCATTAATTTGTTTCCCTCGACCACGATGGCTGCCATCGTATGGTCAGATCCTGGGTGGACCGGTCACTGATGAAGGCGATATTCATGTCCTTTTGAAGCACATTAAATAATAGGTTAGCGCATAAGAGATAATGAATTAGGTAACTGCATACTTTTTAAACTGTCACTCTGAGCTAATTCAGAGCCATTATTACCAGCTGCTAAAGCAACGCTGGTATTGTTTTCACCTATTGAGTCTGCATGTGTGTGTCGTCATGGCAATGTGGTCCTGAAGACACACAGAGGTGGGTTTGAGTACTTTGCCCAGTGTTTAAATGCATGTGGACAGATTTTGTCAATCACAACCGTGCAAGTTTTAGTGTATCTTCTCATCTGGTTTGCAGGTTCCATACAATACTTGAACTGGAGCAGAAGAGCAGAAGCCACTTCTCAAATGTTACACAATCCTTTTCCCATGCCATTGCTGTCAACACCTATCCATGCTGAACGTTGCTAAGATATTATTGATTGGGGTGTGACCAAAAGTGCAATATGCTTCAGAATGTAACTGACAGAGAGCAGTGCTTTTGTCCTGTGTTTTTACACTGGGCCCATTTATTTTATGTTATTTCAAGATGTTTTAATTACGTCGCTAAACTCCTTGAAAAGGTCCTCTTCCTTTTCTCCAAGGTACACGACAAGGCAGCGGATGGCTATAGTTCTCTGCGTACTTCAATTGTATTGTGCTATTTTTTTAAAAGGAAAAAAAGAGAAATGACCTAAATGAATATATTCTGAATGGGTGACTGCCAACAACTTGCATTTCAATGACAACTCTAAATAACGATCCTACCTCAAGAAGCATCCTTGATCTGCTTCACGAGATTCATTTAGAATAAAAAGCAATATCACAATAGTAACCAAAGTATTTTTACACTCACAGTAGCCTCTACCACTTTGTATCCTCTCACAGAACTATTCACAGTTCAAAGGCTGCTAATGTTGGTCAAACAGCAATTTGCCTATACAGTGCAACTACAAGGCTACCTACTGTATTTGAAAGACAAAAGATGACACTCACCTTAAAATGTCCTTTGTATATTTCTATTTGTCTTAACTGTGGGAACTTGTCCAGGCATGTTAAGTGGGAGTGGACTTGAAATCCTTAACTCAAAGTGTAGAACAATTAAGTTATCAAGCCAATTGCATGACTTACTACAACTTCAATTTTGTTTTAAGTCAATTGACGCAGAAATCTGAGTTTAAATTACACACAATATTAAGTTGATGTAATTACCAACATTATTACGTCAACACAACTTATAAATTAATGTTTGCAACTTAAAATGTTTATCTAAATCAATTAATCCAAATTTGTATCTTGCAACCATGCATTTAATTAAGTGGAGGTGAAAGGTCCACTGAATGACTTTTTAGAGTGCATGACTCACCGGAAACAAACAAGGATTAACAGCAGTGTCTTTCGGAGACAAAGACAGAGAGATTTACTTTCGTTGCAAACTTCAGTTCACGAGGGGAAAACTGGACTACTGCGACTTCACACTGAATGTAAGTGTATTACTACTGAAGAGAAAACAACACTTGATAGAAAAATGCCAGATTTCCAGTGCTTGAACTCTTGCTGTCTACCTGCTTCATTTTCAGCATTTTGCAACACACAATGGCGTCCATATCAGAGGAGGATCTCTCCTGTCCGGTCTGCCATGACGTCTTTAATGATCCAGTTGTCCTGACATGTAGCCACAGCTTCTGTAAAGTCTGTTTGAAGAACTGGTGGAAAGGAAAACAAACACACGAGTGTCCAGTTTGTAAGAGAAGATCATCAAGGAGTGATCCTCCTCATAACCTGGTGTTAAAGCAGTCTGCACTTTGAGAAACTCAGACTCTTCTGTCTGGACCATCAGCAGCCAGTGTGTCTCGTCTGCAGAGATTCAAGAACACACACTAACCACAGATTCAGACCCATGAATGAAGCTGCTCAGGATCTCAGAGAGGAGCTCCAGAAAGCTCTGCAGCCCTTTCAGGAGAAGTTAAAGACTTTTGAAAAAGTTAAAGTGGAGTTTGATCAAACAGCAGGACACATGAAGGTCCAGGCTCAACACACAGAGATGCAGATTAAGGAGCAGTTCAAGAAGCTTCACCAGTTTCTAGAAGAGGAAGAGGAGGCCAGGATGGCTGCACTGAGGGAGGAAGAGGAGCAGAAGAGGAGGATGATGGAGGAGAAGATGGAGGCTGTGAGCAAAGAGATAGCAGCTCTTTCACACACAGTCAGAGCCACAGAGGAGGAGCTGAGAGCTGAAGACGTCTCCTTCCTGCACAACTACAAGGCTGCAGTGGAGAGGCTGCAGCGCCCCCTGCTGGAAGATCCCACAGCTGCCCTCAGGAGCTCTGATAGACCAGGCCAAACACCTGGGCAACCTCAGCTTCAACATCTGGAGCAAGATGAAGGACATGGTGTCCTACTCTCCTCTCATCCTGGACCCAAACACTGCTAATTAAAACCTCACCCTGTCTGAAGATCTGACCAGTTTGAGACGAGGAGCGGAACAGAAGCTTCCTGATAATCCAGAGAGGTTTGATAATTACGGCTTTGTCCTGGGCTCTGAGGGCTTTAACTCGGGAACTCACAGCTGGGATGTCCAGGTTGGAGACAGCAACGAGGTGTGTTAGCAGAGTCTGTCCAGAGGAAGGGAGAAATTTAGTCTGGATTATGGAGAATAGGTTTAAATAGAGGTAATTATTTAACAGGGTCACCATCAGATCCAGACACTCCTCTCAGCCTGAAGAAGGTGTTCCAGAGGGTCAGAGTGAATCTGGACTGGAACAGAGGAAAGTTATCGTTCTTTGATCCTGACACTAACACACACATATACACCTTCACACACACTTTCACTGAGAAGATGTTTCCACTCATTAGCAACGGAGATAAATTCCCAATTAACATTTTACCAGAGGTGGATAAGGTTGACGACAATGAGGAAGATGGCAAAGAGGAAGGCAATTACAGCGAGGATGTGGACAACGAGGATGACGAGGACATTTGCTACCATGTTGACAAGAGATTTAATTACAAGTAAATGTCCTGCTTTGTGAAAAAGTACCAGCATCAGAATAATTTAATGTCACCTATTATGCAAAATCCACTTTTACAGGTCTTTTAAACATTACTATGTGTCCCATATGTGTTAAGAGACAGTGATGGTCTCAGGAACAAAGACCCCCTCTCTTTTTGTCCTGATCCATCTTTATCAAAACCTGACCCCCTGCTGTTTGCCTACAGAGCAAACAGGTCCACAGACGACGCCATAGCCCTCACCATCCACACTGCCCTCTCACACCTGGACCAGAGGAACACATGTGAGAATGCTGTTCATTGATTACAGTTCAGCATTCAATACCATTGTGCCCTCCAAGCTGGTCATCAAGCTCAGAGACCTGGGGCTCAACAGCGCCCTCTGTGACTGGATCCTGAACTTCCTGACGGGCAGACCCCAGTGCGGGTGGGAAACATCACATCCTCCACCCTGATCCTCAACACCGGAGCCCCTCAAGGCTGCATGCTCAGCCCTCTCCTCTACTCCCTGTTCACTCACAACAGCGTGGCCACACACAGCTCCAACACCATCGTGAAGTTTGCTGACGACACGACCGTCATTGGCCAGATCACAGACGGCGACGCAACGATGTACTTAGAGGAGGTCGAAAACCTGACATCTTGGTGCCAGGATAACAACCTCCATCTCAACGTCAGCAAAACCAAGGAGCTGATTGTGGATTACAGGAAGCAGCAGAGAGAGGGACACGCCCCCATCGCCATCAACAGGACTACGGTGGAGAGAGTCAGCAGCTTCAGGTTCCTCGCTGTCCACATCACTGAGGACCTGACATGGACTCTTCACTGAGGACCTGACATGGACTCTTCACACCACCACCATCACCAAGAAAGCTCGACAGCGGCTCTTCTTCCTCCGCAGGTTGAGGAGGTTCAACATGGACTCCAGGATACTCTGCAACTTCTACAGGTGCACCATAGAGGGTATCCTGGCTGCATCACGGCCTGGTACGGCAGCTGCACCGCCCTCAGGAAGAAAGCCCTCCAGATTATAAAAGACCCTCATCACCCCAGCAACAAACTGTTCTGTCTGCTGCCGTCTGGCCGGCGTTAATGCAGCATCCTGACTAAAACCACCAGACTCAGAGACAGCTTCATCCCACAGGCAATAAGACTATTAAACACCTGACCTGTTGAAACAACATCCACAACATTCATCTGGCTGCAATTTAGAAATGACTTATCTAATATATCATATTCCAATTATCTTTTCAGTTTTTAGGTTTTATTGTATTGCATTGTTGGAGGAGCCTGTGACCTAAGATTTTCATCGTCATAACTACACTGTAGCTATGTTCGTATGACCAATAAAAGCCTTGAACCTTGAACCTTTAGCTGATCAGATTTTGACCCCTTTATGATGTCACAATGTTTTTTTGGGTTGTGCAACCATTAGCCAATAACCAACCAATGTAACACCCCCCACCTTATCACCTGCATCTCCTCCTAGAGCACCTTTGAGCTTTTTAAACCAATCATCTGTATATAACTGAGAACTATAATATATTGTTCAAAAACAGATGAATAGGGGACCTTTAAGGTTCCAAAATGTCATGTAAGCTACATACAGAATTGCCCAAATCAGAATCTTACGATACACTGATTTATAATTAGCGATGCATTCATGTATTCAACGATTTAACGTTGCTTCTAATAAAGGACAAGCTTATTTGTATGACTTTTTGTTTGTTTTATAGGCATGATTATAGTTATACCATATTTCTTTGTTTTGTGTCACTAATATGATTCTGAAAATTAACTAAAGCTGCCAAATCCATGTTGACTTATTGACATGAAGGGTAGGGTTGATAAAGTTATGTAACCATCTCCGAGTTGAAGATGAGTCATCAAATGTATTTTCATGCTTTATAGGAAAAAAGAAGTGGGACTGATTTGAACACATATTCAGTATCCGAGTCAAATGAACAATTAACAGAGCTTTACAAATGTAAAATATATATTATTTGCATTACACTGTGTGATTAAGGCTTCTTTGTACTGAATTTGTGTGCAATGAAATGTAAGGGCAGTTTGCTGCAGTTAGAGGTGTTGTGTATAGCCTATTATGCAGAAGTTTAAAGAGGCCCTATACTGCTTTTTGAGGTTTTCCGTTTCCTTTTTCCGTAACGTAACGTAGTTTCTTCTTCAATTCGCCGCAACGTTACTTTTCCCAGGGACGAGTGACAGTGACACCGCCTACTCAGCTGTGTGTTTACGCATTAGGCACGAGCTCTCATTCCACACTGTACGTGATAGAGGCTGGCCGCGGGTGGTGGCATGAAGACTGAAGAGCAGTGATGGTAAGCGAGAAGCAGGCGCAGCCAACGCTAACATTCGAGGGATGGAGGTATTCCCATTACTTCGAACTTGTTGAAACTAAGGGGAAAAATGTGAGTGTAAGGTGTACGTTGTGCCCTGGCCAGAAACTTGTGTCCACTGCCGTTAACTCCACTGCCAACCTCACCAAGCATTTGAAAGGAAAACATGCTAGCATGAAGCTAGTAGCTCAAGATCGCCGGGCAAATGATGATATTTCGAGTCCAAGCCTATTTAGTAGCCTATTGATATGATTTGCACTAGCTTTGCACCTATTTTGGGGCTAGCCTATAACCCTTAATGATTATGATTTTATATTGATATTGTTTGATATTATTGTTTAGTGGTGGTGTTGACGCCTATAGCCCAATGTTTTGTTAAGTGCTCTGTGGCATTTTTTTATAATAAAGAGCACAAAAGAAATATCTGTTATGTCCTCCATAGTAGAACTTTATGTAAGCCGACACATTTAGGAACAGAGATGGGGTTCTGCCCAAAGTCGAGCAACATAAAAGTAACGTAAAAGTAACGAGTAACGTAAAAAGTTACTTTCCTTGGAGGGTAACTAAGTAAAGTAAGGGATTACTTTTTTAAAGAAGTAACGAGTAACGAGCAAACACTACTTTTTTAAAGTAACTTCCTCAACACTGGTTAACACTGTTTAAAGACTGCTAATAAAGGCTGTATAATAGCATCACAAACACATTTATTGAGTTAAACTTCCTTACGTATTAAATCGTTGTAAAACCTAAATTAACCTATTTGTCTTGCTATAGTAATTTATATAGGTATTTTAGTATGTATTTATTAGCAGTTGCATATGGTTTTTGCAGGTATCACATTTAAAACGACAAACTATGTCTTATTAAAGGTAGGGTATGTAAGTTTGAGAAACCGGCTCGAGATCGCTAGAATTTGAAAATACACGACCGGAGAAAATCTGCCACTTCCTCACAGAGCCCCTCCTCCAACACACACGAACACACACATGACCAATGAGCGCACAAGATAAGTTTGTTCACATATTGAAGGCTGACAGGCAGGTAGGCCATCCAGTTACTTTAGCCGGCTCAGATGATTGGTCGTGCTTTTACAGTACCACGGCTTCCAGAGGTGACATTTTTGTATGGATTTTTAAGATATTCATTGCTATCGGGATGTTAAGAGCATTCCATGGAATATAACAAAAAGTGTATCTCGAGCCGGTTTCTCAAACTTACCTACCCTACCTTTAAAGGTGGGGTATGTAATTTATTTCAGAAACACTTTTTGTTATATTCCATGGAATGCTCTTAACATCCCGATAGCAATGAATATCTGAAGTGCTTTGACAAAAAATCCATTAAAGAATGTCATCTGCGGAAGCCGTGGCGCTGTAAAAAGCACGACCAATCATCTGAGCCGGCTAAAATAACTGGATGGCCTACCTGCCTGTCAGCCTTCCATCTGTGCACAAGCTTATCTCGTGCCCTCATTGGTCATGTGCTCATTCGTGTGTGTTGGAGGAGGGGCTCTGTAAGGAAGTGGCAGATTTTAAAATTCTAGCGCACTCGAGCTGGTTTCTCCAAAATTACCTAACCCACCTTTAACCTTAAAAACCCTTTATTTTCCTCTTTTTAACTATGCTTTTTTAAGGATTAATGACAAACAAGGATCATTGCATTAAAGCAATAAAACCCTAAAATTAGTCAGCATTTTAAGACTCCCTGTCCGCTGATCTGGAGGTCAATGGATGTTGGTTGTTATCCTGGAATAAGGTCTGTAGTTTACTCAAGCTGAAAATATGTTTGTTCTACGAAAATATGTCAGTAAATACCCCATTGGTGAATTTCAAAATGGCGGTTGCTAAAAAGTGTCTAATTGAGACGACTAAACATCATCACGCCCAACATTAGCCGCCTTTAGCTTAGTGGTGGTGATGTGAAGTCATGTGACCGTGCTGTAGTTATTTTATAGCCCAACATTAGCAACCTTTAGCTTAGCGGTGGTGACGTGAAGTCATGTGACCGTGCTGTAGTTCCTTTATAGCCCAACATTAGCCTCCTTTAGCTTAGCATTGGTGATGCAAAGTCATGTGACCTTGCTGTAGTTCCTTTATAGCCAAACATTAGCCTCCTTTAGCTAAGCGGTGGTGACGTGAAGTCATGTGACCGTGCTGTAGTTCCTTTATAGCCCAACATTAGCCTCCTTTAGCTAAGCGGTGGTGACGTGAAGTCATGTGACCGTGCTGTAGTTCCTTTATTGCCCAACATTAGCCACCTTTAGCTAAGCGGTGGTGACGTGAAGTCATGTGACCGTGCTGTAGTTCCTTTATAGCCCAACATTAGCCTCCTTTAGCTTAGAGCTGGTGATGCAAAGTCATGTGACCATGCTTTAGTTCCTTTATAGCTAAACATTAGCCGCCTTTAGCTAAGCGGTGGTGACGTGAAGTCATGTGACCGTGCTGTAGTTCCATCCATCTATCTTCTCCCGCTTATCCATGGTCGGGTCGCGGGGGTAGCAGTTCCAGCAGAGAGCCCCAAACGTTCCTTTCCCTGGCCACATCAACCAGCTCTGACTAGGGGATTCCAAGGCGCTCCCAGGCCAGCCAAGAGATATAATCCCTCCACCTGGTCCTAGGTCTACCCCTTGGTCTCTTCCCAGCTGGACGTGCCTGGAACACCTCCCTAGGGAGGCGCCCAGGTGGCATCCTTACTAGGTGCCCGAACCACCTCAACTGGCTCCTTTCGACTCCTTTTCCCGGATGACTGAACTTCTCACCTTATCCCTAAGGGAGACGCCCGCCACCCTGCAGAGAAAACCCATCCTGGCCGCTTGTATCCACAATCTTGTTCGTTCGGTCATGACCCATCCTTCACAACCATAGGTGAGGGTAGGAACAAAAATGGTCCGGTAAACATAGAGCTTTGCCTTCTGGCTCAGCTCCCTTTTCATTACAACGGTGCGGTAAAGCGACTGCAGTACCGCTCCCGCTGCTCCGATTCTCCAGCCCATCTCATGCTCCATTGTTCCCTCACTCGAGAACAAGACCCAGAGATGCTTGAACTCCTTCACTTGGGGTAAGGACTCATTCCCTACTTGGAGTGGACAGTCCATCGGTTTCCTGCTGAGAACCATGGCCTCAGATTTGGAGGTGCTGATCCTCATCCCAGCCGCTTCACACTCCTTTGCAAACCGATCCAGTGAGCGCTGAAGGTCGCAGACCGATGAAGCCATTAGAACCACATCATCTGCAAAAAGCAGTGGTGCAATCCTTGCTGTAGTTCCTTTATAGCCAAATCTGCTGTTAATATGCAACCCAGGTTCACGGCATTTCGTGTTATAGTCACGACATTTAATCTATTGATTCGTGTTCACCAACACGATTTCCCCCTTTTTTTCGTGTCACACAGAAAGATTTGAAAAACAATGTATTTCTATTGGTAGTGTGTTTCGTGCCTACAGCACGTCTTTTTGTCCGTTCGGGTCTTGGAAGACCGGAAGCTGTGTGGTTCATAAAAGCATGTTCTTACTCAATATCAAGCCACGATTATTGTTTTTATTTTAAATCGTATAATGTCGGACTTTTTTGCCGTCTGTGAGGAAAATAAATGGCTCAGAGCCTCAGGATACTGAAATCTGTATTTTTTAAATCTTTTTTTCCTTCTAATTTGTTATTGTTTTCTAAATAACACACTGTTATTTACTCACCAATAACACACAATTATCCTTGCTTTTATTTATTTATTAATTCCTTAATCTCGGGCTTTTTTGGCGTCCGTCAGGAACTGAATTTCAAAATAAAATAACCGGAAACAAATACACACCCACTGAACTGATTACCCAAGATCCTCAGCTATGGTTTGAGCTTGGTGATTGGATTGTTTAGCCGCAATGCTATGGTGTTTATGCGATATGAAATCCAATTTTTTTTTTTTCAAGAAAATAATACTTTAATCCGAGTGTTCTTGCTTTTCTCTTTGAAAGTCATCACATAACGGCATTGTAATACACGGTTCAGCTGCATTACATATTACACATCTGCCGTAGTTCTTTATTCATAGAGCCCTGATGAGAAGACCTTTGGACAAACTGGAAGAACTGCCACCGAAACTGAATACTTGATGTGGATCATAAATATATCAGCAATTAAACAACATCTTCAATTTCTCTTCACACAATACATCTCCTTGCAGTATCAATAGTAATTCAGCTGACTTTTATATTTGATCCAATTGGTAGATAGGCTGTATTTACACCATAAAGGTGCACAGCTGATAGAAAAGGACTTGTAGTTTTTTTAAGATATTACTGATTTTCTTTGAATATCAGAATGTAAATACTGAGTTGAAAGAATAGTCAGGGGTTTTGGGTGATGGGAGACACATCTATGGATTCAGAATTTCAATCGCTTACCATTAAATGACAGATATACTTTTCTGTCTATGTTTTACAAATCAGATATTAATGTGTAGAAGTAAAACATGTGAAATAATATAGAAATATCCTGTAAAATGATGTGAAAACATGAATAAAACTACACATCTTTGGATGTTATATATAGTACATAAGTCTCCTACACTAATAATACAAAGTTATTATGGAATTGTATGCAACATCCAATCACCGAGCTTAAACCATAGCTGAGGATCTTGGGTAATCAGTTCAGTGGGTGTGTATCGCAATGATGCTCGAAATGTCCCTTATAGGCCTACGTCTGTTTCTGGTTATTTTATTTTGAAATTCAGTTCCTGACGGACGCCAAAAAAGCCAGAGATTATAGAATTAAACAAATAAATAAAAACAAGGATAATGATGTGTTATTGTTGAGTAAATAACAGTGTGTTATTAAGAAAAGAATAACAAATTAGAAGGAAAAAAAGATTTAAAAAATACAGATTTCAGGGGAAAATCGTGTTGGTGAACACGAATCAATAGATTAAATGTCGTGACTATAACACAAAATGCCGTGAGACTGGGTTGTAATATGTGGAGATTATCCTGCTGAACAAAACGTTTATAGAGTATCATGAACATCTGTTTCACAAAGAGATTATTTCTGCAATTATCCAAAATCCAATGGAAATAAACCCATTGGCCTTTGTCGAGGGAGCCCTTGCGATGCTAACTCTCAGGTACAACAATGTGTCATCACTGCAAGACTCTTTACCTTCAAATGTGACAGGAACATGCATCAACATGTTGATGGGTAGAACATGCTAGCTAGCATAGCGCTGGGGAGCCAGCTGCCAGGCAAGCCTCATTGTTGGCTCGTGTAGATATTGTTGCACTGACAATAACTCTCTAAAGGCAGGAAGGACTTGTTCTTACCGTGGTAAACAATTCATTTACGTTTACATCCTGGCACTCGATCAACTTGTTTCAACAGTTTCTTTTTTATCAGAAACACATGTAAATGTTGTATTTAGTTTACATTTTGATTCATTTTCTTGTGTTTGAATTGATTATATATATACATAATACATTTTAATCAAATCTGCCGGTGCCGCCCACCCCATTATTTTTTTTAAACATGACATTTGTTCATAAGGATAGAACTCGCAGCAAGATATCAAATATAATAAGATATTTAATATATGTTATATATATTATATCCAAATGCAAATGGCTTCTTTAGATGCCCCTACAGATCGGCCTTCTTGAATTCTAATCCAATGCAGTTTGGGGTTACAGTATATCCTGCATTTCTTGGCATCGACACAATCGTAATTTTTGACTATTTAAAAAGGTGTATTTGCATATTTCTACATACTGGGATCAATTAACAGCTTTGGATTTGTAGAAATTGGGTATTTGTGGAAGGCTGAAACTCTTTATGGATTCATTTGGCGACGATTTTTCATGTGTGAATATGTTAGTCTTCATAGTAGCCATTTCATTAGTAAGACATTATTAGAAAAACGAGATTGAGGGCATTTAGAGGATGTATTGGCTGTTTGTTTTATCACAAAGTGTATGTGCATGACTTCAAGTAAACAACATCCAAAGTCCAGCAAAATTACTCAACAAGAGTTTTTACACGTCACCAAACGCATAAAAGTCTCACCTGAAGCAATACATTGTGTTTAAATGATGAACCTTTGGTCCATCTCAGTTAATAGTTAACCATGTCATTAAAAGTGCTCTGAACAAATTGCACCCTTTGCATGGTTCATCTGAAAGATATCCAGGAAGGGTCTTCATTTTGTTGGACGGACGATGAGATTTACCTTGGCAGAGAACTCACAACCACTGAGGACTGGAGGAAAAAAGTCAACACAACGACAATGTAAGTTTTACGCTACCAAAGTTGGAAACAACCGTTTACTTTATAAATGATAAACTAAGAGTATAACTGATTTACAATGTGCCTGCTTTATTTTCAGCATTTCAGAGACACGATGGCGTCCATATCAGAGGAGGATCTCTCCTGTCCGGTCTGCCATGACGTCTTTAAAGATCCAGTTGTCCTGACATGTAGCCACAGCTTCTGTAAAGCCTGTTTGAAGAACTGGTGGAAAGGAAAACAAACACACGAGTGTCCAGTTTGCAAGAGGAGGTCATCAAGGAGTGATCCTCCTCATAACCTGGTGTTGAAGAACCTGTGTGAGAGTTTCTTAGTGAAGAGAGATCAGAACGTTTCAGCCGTGTCTGAGACTTTCTGCCGTCTGCACTTTGAGAAACTTAAACTCTTCTGTCTGGACCATCAGCAGCCAGTGTGTGTCGTCTGCAGAGATTCAAAAGCACACACCAACCACAGATTCAGACCCATTGAGGAAATCACAAAGGATCTCAAAGAGGAGCTCCAGAAAGCTCTGCAGCCCTTTCAGGAGAAGTTAAAGACTTTTGAAGAAGTTAAAGTGAAGTTTGATCAAACAGCAGGACACATGAAGGTCCAGGCTCTACACACAGAGACGCAGATTAAGGAGCAGTTTAAGAAGCTTCACCAGTTTCTAGAAGAGGAAGAGGAGGCCAGGATGGCTGCACTGAGGGAGGAAGAGGAGCAGAAGAGGAGGAAGATGGAGGAGAAGATGGAGGCTGTGAGCAGAGAGATAGCAGCTCTTTCACACACAGTCAGAGCCACAGAGGAGGAGCTGAGAGCTGAAGACGTCTCCTTCCTGCACAACTACAAGACTGCAGTGGAGAGGCTGCAGCGCCCCCTGCTGGAGGATCCACAGCTGCCCTCAGGAGCTCTGATAGACCAGGCCAAACACCTGGGCAACCTCAGCTTTATTATCTGGGACAAGCTAATGGATTTGGTCACCTACACTCCTGTGATTTTGGACCCAAACACTGCTGTTCCAGAACTCATCCTGTCTGAAGATCTGACCAGTGTGAGACGAGGAGAGAGACAGGAATTTCCTGATAATCCAGAGAGGTTTCATAAATACTACTACTCAGTCCTGGGCTCTGAGGGCTTTAACTCAGGGACTCACAGCTGGGATGTTGAAGTTGGAGGCAGTGCATGCTGGTTTCTTGGTGTAGCCTCAGAGTCCATCAAAAGGAAAGGGATAGCACGGTCTGGATTATGGAGAATAGGATTCTCTAATGGAAAATACAAAATATTCTCCCCATCAACAGAACCAAGTGATCTCTCAGTGCCAACGAAGCTTCAGAGGGTCAGAGTGCATCTGGACTGGAACAGAGGAGAGTTGTCGTTCTCTGATCTTGACACTAACACACACATACTCACCTTCACACACACTTTCACTGAGAGGATGTTTCCATACATTAGCAATAAGGATAAAATCCCTATAAAGATTTTACCAGAAGCGGATCAGGACAACGCTGATGGTTGGTAGCAAAAATATAGATCCTTAAATTAAAGAGTCTTGTAATTCAATCTACTTTAATAGATATATAGATAGATAAATAGATAGATATTTATTTTATTCATTTCAAAATTGGAAGAACTGAAACAGATTTGTTATAGTCATTCTCTTGTACTTTTTTGTGACGCATGTGGAAAAACTGTCTCTACAGAACGTGGAGTGGAGATTAGCTGCCAGTGGTGTAAAGTAACTAAGTACATTTACTCATGTATTGTACTCAAGCACAATTTTGAGGAACTATTTACTTTACTTGAGTATTTCAGGTTTTTGCTACTTTGTACTTCTACTCCACTACAAGTCAGAGGTAAATGGTGTACTTTTCCTCCACTGCATGTATTCAATACCTTTAGTTACTTTACAGATGTGGATGAATGATGTGAAATCTAATCAAGTGTTAAATCAGACTTTAGTTCCACCTGGAGTAAATCCACCAGCTACCCTGCAGTATACAAAGTCATTCAAACTAGCTGCACCTTCACCAGCTTTGAGAACACTTTCATGATCAATCATTATAAAACATATCATATATATTATTCTGAAATGGACCAATCTGCACAACGACTACTTTTACTGTCGCTTTATCTATATTTTGATGATAATACTTTTCTACTTTCACTTGAGGAACATTTTGAATGCAGGACTTTTACTTCCTACTTCCACTCTGATTACACGAGTACAAGATCTGAGTACTTTTTCAACCTCTGCTAAAAGTGTTTTTTCTCTGCTTCCTCTCTTTCTCCGTTAAAATCATGCTCATTGGGAGTGCCACAGGGCTCTATTCTGGGGCCTCTGCTGTTCAGTTTATATATCAATTATCTCCCATTAGTTTGTGATGAAGTAAAAACATGCACATGTATGCTGACAACACGATCATGTACACTGATGGAGGATGTTGAACAAGTCGCCAAAAAACAATGTATCCACAGTTTAGAGTTAACAGATAAATCTGTACCCCTCTAAAGTGCTATCTGCTATTTCCATTACAGCCATAAATCATTGGCTTATATTTGCAGATGATTTTAAATCTGCAGAGACTTTCACTCTTTTTAATTATTCAAGTGTTTTAAAGGAAATACATTGGGATGTTGTATTTGTACTTATATGTGTATGTGCAGGTCTTTGTACAGTATGTTGATATGGCTTTGATCAGTCCGTACAATTCTTAATGTCATGAAGACTATTTACTGTTTGTAGTGTGTCTTGAATGTAGTATGTGTGTACCTGCAGATATAATATAATCTGTGATAAATCTTCTCTGCACTTTAAAAAAATTATTATTTGACTGTCACCTTCTACGTCTTTTTAGGTCATAAATCAGGTGAGAGGTAATAACTTTCTCATAGACTTCTATACTTCTTTTGCTTTAGAGTAGTGGTGTCGCCGACTGCTGGCCACTTGAACAGAATAATGACTTTCCAGACTACCGAATGGTTTATTTCTGTGTTTTGCATTGTTTCATAATTCATGCATGCAGTCATAAAGCAATAAAGCAACACCTTCTCCAGAGGCTTCCTGATATATATTTCCTTTGGCAGTGCTGGAGTGTAACATTTAACACTTTGAACACAGCTGCATAAAGACATTTGCCTTCGTCTATAAAACACTCGAGATAAGCCAACAGTGAGGCTGAGAGCCTGCTGACGTTAGTGGTGAACTGATAATAAGAAGATCAAACGCTGTGTGCTCAGCGCTCGTATCTGAACACAAACAGCCACGAGATAAGAGAGGAATGGTGGTGGGGACACAGCGTCTGTTGCTACTTTAAACTACTTAAAAAATGTTGCCTCGGCGCCACGTGTCAGCAAACACAAAACACACTCTGATACACACCACTGACCCTGAATCAAACACACGCGCACGCACACACACACACACACACACATTTTGTATTTCTATGTCTAAATACATTTAACATCTCTGTTTATTTACACACATGATTTTCTCTGTGTCTCTGTTGTGTGTGTGTGTGTGTGTGTGTGTGTGTGTGTGTGTGTGTGTGTGTGTGTGTGTGTGTGTATGCATCTGTGTGTATATCTGTGTGCATGATGTGTGTGTGTGTGTTGTAAACTTTGCAGAATCTCTTCTCACCACTAGAGGTCCCTGCTGGTGTCTTTAAATTAAACGTCACTCGTGCTCTGTGCTCTCTCTCTCTCTCTCTCTCCCTCTCTCTCTCTCTCTCTCTCTCTCTCTATCTCTCTCTCTCTCTCTCTCTCTCTCTCATCTCTCTCTCCTCTCGTCATCATCATGTTTTGATCCGTTGACCAAAACCAAAAAGTCCAGTAAACAGCCGTCAGTCTGTTCCTCACTTTCTGCCAACTCTCACTGTTTTGCTTTCACTGATATTCATTTTTATTTATTTTTGGTATCTTTCGGGACCACAAAGTGAATAAATGTTGCCTTTTAAATATTAGATGTAAAAACAGCATCAAGAGAGGAACTCAAAGCCTCATCAGAGTTTTAAGGGACTTTTTGAACATTAAAGCATGGAGACATGTCCCAGTAGAGACAATACATACTGATATACACTTGAACATCAGCAGGAGAGGACTCTTTAAAGTAGAGACACTACATACTGATATACACCTGAACATCAGCAGGAGAGGACTCTTTAAAGTAGAGACACTACATTACTGATATACACCTGAACATCACGCAGGAGAGGATCTCTTTAAAGTAGAGGGACACTACATACTGATATACACCTGAACATCAGCAGGAGAGGACCTCTTTAAAGTAGAGACACTACATACTGATATACACCTGAACATCAGCAGGAGAGGACTCTTTAAAGTAGAGACACTACATACTGATATACACCTGAACATCAGCAGGAGAGGACTCTTTAAAGTAGAGACACTACATACTGATATACACCTGCACATCAGCAGGAGATGACTCTTTAAAGTAGAGAGACTACATACTGATATACACCTGAACATCAGCAGGAGAGGACTCTTTAAAGTAGAGACACTACATACTGATATACACCTGAACATCAGCAGGAGAGGACTCTTTAAAGTAGAGGCACTACATACTGATATACATCTGAACATCAGCAGGAGAGGACTCTTTAAAGTAGAGACACTACATACTGATATACACCTGAACATCAGCAGGAGAGGACTCTTTAAAGTAGAGACACTACATACTGATATACACCTTAACATCAGCCGGAGAGGACTCTTTAAAGTAGAGACACTACATACTGATATACACCTGAACATCAGCAGGAGAGGACTCTTTAAAGTAGAGACACTACATACTGATATACACCTGCACATCAGCAGGAGAGGACTCTTTAAAGTAGAGACACTACATACTGATATACACCTGAACATCAGCAGGAGAGGACTCTTTAAAGTAGAGACACTACATACTGATATACACCCTGAACATCAGCAGGAAGAGGACTCTTTAAAGTAGAGACACTACATACTGATATACACCTGAACATCAGCAAGAGAGTACTCTTTAAAGTAGAGACACTACATACTGATATACACCTTAACATCAGCAGGAGAGGACTCTTTAAAGTAGAGACACTACATACTGATATACACCTGAACATCAGCAGGAGAGGACTCTTTAAAGTAGAGACACTACATACTGATATACACCTTAACATCAGCAGGAGAGGACTCTTTAAAGTAGAGACACTACATACTGATATACACCTGAACATCAGCAGGAGAGGACTCTTTAAAGTAGAGATACTACATACTGATATACACCTGCACATCAGCAGGAGAGGACTCTTTAAAGTAGAGACACTACATACGATATACACCTGAACATCAGCAGGAGAGGACTCTTTAAAGTAGAGACACTACATACTGATATACACCTGAACATCAGCAGGAGAGGACTCTTTAAAGTAGAGACACTACATACTGATATACACCTGAACATCAGCAGGAGAGGACTCTTTAAAGTAGAGACCCTACATACTGATATACACCTGAACATCAGCAGGAGAGGACTCTTTAAAGTGGAGACCACTACATACTGATATACACCTGAACATCAGCAGGAGAGGACTCTTTAAAGTGGAGACACTACATTACTGATATACACCTGAACATCAGCAGGAGAGGACTCTTTACAAGTAGAGAGACTACTGATATTACACCTGAACATCAGCAGGAGAGGACTCTTTAAAGTAGAGACACTACATACTGATATACACCATGAACATTCAGCAGGAGAGGACTCTTTAAAGTAGAGACCCTACATACTGATATACACCTGAACATCAGCAGGAGAGGACTCTTTAAAGTGGAGACACTACATACTGATATACACCTGAACATCAGCAGGAGAGGACTCTTTAAAGTGGAGACACTACATACTGATATACACCTGAACATCAGCAGGAGAGGACTCTTTAAAGTAGAGAGACTACTGATATACACCTGAACATCAGCAGGAGAGGACTCTTTAAAGTAGAGACACTACATACTGATATACACCTGAACATCAGCAGGAGAGGACTCTTTAAAGTGGTATTTAAGTGGTATTACTGATTATGTAATCCATTACTCACATTATGCTAAGTTGCACTTTAATACAAGCTGTTAATATATCTGCAAATAGACAAAGAAAAGCTTGACATGTATTGCTGATTGGTGAAAGTTAAAATGATCCAGACCGCTATAAACCTTGTTACATATCAGGAGATATTAAAATGTTTCACACCAGTAGGCCTATCCCCTTTTCATTTCACTAAAACACTCTCACAAGGGCTTCCATATTCAAAGTGAGTGTGAAATATGGAGCATCATGATGGGAGTTATTTCAGAAAGATATGTCTCGTCTGTCGTCTCTGTTTCTACTACTTGGTAACAGCTAGAGACCACATTTATTAATATATCTTGAGCTGGTATAAATACAAATCACATGATGCTGTCCATATTGCATTTCACACTCCTCAAAAGCCCAAAAGAGGGGGGAATCATTCATTCACTTACAAGCTTTTTATGTATTATTTATAGGACGATATTATGCCTGAAAATACATCTGTTGTGAAATCTCTGAGCAGAGCATCTCTGATCCTAGAGTACATTTTGAGGGTACCATGATGTGAAATCTAAACCAAGTGTTGAATCAGACTTTAGTTCCACCTGGAGTAAATCCACCAGCTACCCTGCAGTATACAAAGTCCTTCAAACTAGCTGCACCTTCACCAGCTTTGAGAACACTTTCATGATCAATCATTATAAAACATATCATATATATTATTCTGAAATGGACCAATCTGCACAACGACTACTTTTACTGTCTTTCACTATTTTTGATTGATCATACTTTTCTACTTTCACTTGAGGAACATTTTGAATGCAGGACTTTTACTGTAACAGAGTATTCCTACACTCTGGTACTTCTACTTTTACTCAAGTACAAGATCTGAGTACTTCTACTTTTACTCAAGTACAAGATTACATTACATTACATTGCATTTAGCTGACGCTTTTATCCAAAGCGACTTACAATAAGTACATTCGACAAGATCTGAGTACTTCTACTTTTTACTCAAGTACAAGATCTGAGTACTTCTACTTTTACTCAAGTACAACATCTGAGTACTTCTACTTTTACTCAAGTACAAGATCTGAGTACTTCTACTTGTACTCAAGTACAATATCTGAGTACTTCTACTTTACTCAAGTACAAGATCTGAGTACTTCTACTTTTACTCAAGTACAATATCCGAGTACTTCTACTTTTACTCAAGATCTGAGTACTTCTACTTTTACTCAAGTACAATATCTGAGTACTTCTACTTTTTACTCAAGATCTGAGTACTTCTACTTTTACTCAAGTACAATATCTGAGTACTTCTACTTTTACTCAAGTAAAACATCTGAGTACTTCTACTTTTACTCAAGAACAAGATCTGAGTACTTCTACTTTTACTCAAGTACAAGATCTGAGTACTTCTACTTTTACTCAAGTACAAGATCTGAGTACTTCTACTTTTACTCAAGTACAAGATCTGAGTACTTCTACTTTTACTCAAGTACAAGATCTGAGTACTTCTACTTTTACTCAAGTACAATATCTGAGTACTTCTACTTTTACTCAAGTACAAGATCTGAGTACTTCTACTTTTACTCAAGTACAATATCCGAGTACTTCTACTTTTACTCAAGATCTGAGTACTTCTACTTTTACTCAAGTACAATATCTGAGTACTTCTACTTTTACTCAAGTACAATATCTGAGTACTTCTACTTTTACTCAAGTACAAGATCTGAGTACTTCTACTTTAACTCAAGTACAAGATCTGAGTACTTCTACTTTTACTCAAGTACAATATCTGGAGTACTTCTACTTTACTCAAGTGCACATATGTGAGTACTTCTACTTTTACTGAAGTACAAGATCTGAGTGCTTCTACTTTTACTACAGTACAA